CAGGCGTGACCCGCCAGTTCCCACCTGCTACTAGCTCCAAAGGCTCGAGTAAGTCAATACGGTTCCAGCATCGGGATTCTACTAAGACATCTGTGCCACACTCTGCCGCTGCCTGACCTTTGAATGGATTAGCACCTGGCTCTCTTACCAGAGCAGGGTGAGATGTACCAGTCAGCCACCACCTGCTCCAGGGGGCGCCCTGAACACCCAGCCTGCTACTGAGACCAGAAGCCACCATCACCTTTCAGCAGTGCGTCGCCAGTCCAGGCCGCCTTCTCCACGGCTGCAGAGTAGCCTCGCAGTTTGAGCAGCAGCAGTTACAGAGGCGGTGTTTAATCATGGGGTCACTACAGCTATGGGGTTGATGGTCTGGGACGAGGACACTGGGACGGCCTGTCCCATCCACGCTGAGGTGTCTCCCTCCGCACAACAAGCCCCTCCATCAGGTTAGTTAAGATAGAAACAAAGGTCAGGCCTGAGTAGAAAGTGACTTGATGCTTTGCTCCATCTCTAGTACTACCACTAGTACTTATACTCCCAGTACTACTGCTATGCTCCCATTAGTTCTAACCATTACCCAATACGTTGTGCCACTATTCTGGTCTAACCTTTAAGCAGAGACATGTTGGTACCAGCTGGTTCCCATCTCTCTGCTGTGTCTGACCACATTCTGCTCCTGCTCTACTCCTTCTATGATATACCTGTAGTATTTACGGTGCTTCCACCAGCTGCAGCATGCTACTACCTGTAGTGGTGAGTTCACATTAGCCTCCAGTTGTTTAAAATTATTTCAGCCGTTTTACTACCGTGATATCACTGAGCCGACTCGCTGCGCGCTTAGTTCCTACTGTGTTTCTATAGGGAGCTGGTGTCGGTTCCGTCAGGAGCTTTAAACGGCCCCCCGGTTCTCAAAGTGTTTCCGTGACATCCAAACACAAACACCTGCGCCTTGACATCTGGCCCCGACCCAATAAAATTCCTGGAGCTCCAAGCTCCTGGTCTACGTGTAGACACATGTGGACACGGTGTGAATGGTCGCTCCGCGCGTAAACGCAGCGGAACCACACTGACAGGTTTTCTTTCAGTAACGACTTAAAACACAGTCTAACCCCCGTGTGTTGGGGGGCCACCCCAGACCCTCGAGTCAGGCTCACCGTTCCGTGCGGGGCTGGTGCAGCAGCACGCAGCAGCAGCAGCGTCTCTCCGACTCCGGAACAAAACTTCATCATGTCTGCGCTGGATTTTAACTGAAATCCTCAAAGCGTGGTTTGTGCTGGCGTGTGCAGACGCACGGGTCGTCCATGAGCGGCGGCGGTGTTTGCGGGCTGAAGGGCGGAGGGTGAGTGACGGGGCTCAGCCAGAGCGCGCAGACCAGCGCGCACCTGCTCCGCCTTCACACGCTTCTGCTTCACCGTCAGGCAGCTCCACTGCCGCGCGCGGCCACCGAGCGCGTGCATGCGGCGCTGTGAGTGCGCCAACAGCGGGCAAAGGAAACCGAACCGTAAAAGCAGCGCAAACAGCCGAAGTATAAAGTTGGTGAAATGACGAACTGTCGGTGTTTGTTTTGTGAGACCTGGTCAACGTACTTCACTCAGTGATTTCATTCATGTGCGTGTCGTGCAGCGCGCACAGCAGTGCACCCAGGTCCAGAGCTGCCCCCACAACACCGGGAAAACAGATCGTAATTCAAACCGTAACACAACTCATTTTTGTGCCTTTTTATAGTTTGAAAGGCAGCCTTCCATCAAACCACACATCAATAATTCAGGTGTAAACATGGACTTAAATGTGTGAAACTCCATCGTCAGCATGTCTTGTATAAATAAAGTCCGATAAATAAAATATTTCCCTTTGAACCGACTGCAGACGTGCGTGTATCTTCACTTCCACATGTCTAAGCTTTGGCCTTGTCCAGCTTTTCGTGTTTTTCCTTCTTTGCCCTCTGCTGTTTCAGTTTCACCTGTTTAAGGATAAATAATGTGTTTTATTGAGTCCGGATTTAGAAGGTGAACACTGTTTGTCAGGGGCCCAACCAGTCAGCCCACTCTCTGGTCACACGGTCGCTTCCTCAGGCCTGTGCGCGCGCGCGCGTGTGACCTGGTGTTACTCCTGTTGTAGGGACATAAATCTGTTTAAACAGTCACACCATGGGGACTCTGCGTCCTTATGGGAACAAAAGCACCCCCCCAACATAAATCATTTAGAGTGATGACTTGGGTCAAGGTGAGGTCAGGGTGGCAGCACCAGGGTCAAGGTGAGGTCAGGGTCAGGTCAGCAGCACCAGAATCGATTAGCACATCTGAGCCGTTTCCACCCAGAGACACACTGTTAGGATTTATCAAGGTCAAATGAGCAATAAAATCCATTAAACCCATTAGGTGGCCGTTTTGTGTGGGTGCTTTGTTGCAAGTGACCGCACACGGAGGAATCCAGGTAAACACGCACCGAGCAGAGGGCTCGTTAACTATGAATGTAGAAAAGTTGTACTGGGGTGAAGCCAGCAGAGCAGAGACAGAAACGTAGTGGATCCTGTCAAATCAGACAACGAACTGTACAGGTCCTGTTCTCACTGTGGGACCAAAACAGAACCAAAACAGCGGGAAACCAAAGAAACAAAAACTTTCTTCATCCTATGTGAATGATGGCAAATGTAGTCTGGTTTATCACCAAAGCAACAGTAACGTCCCTCCACAACCTGCGTCCTGCTGTGGCTGTGTCGATGCTGAGGTCAGCAGCCACAGCGAGGAACGAGGAGCAGAGAAAACAGCTAAAAAACCTGAACAAAAAACAGCAACTGTAGACCTCGGTTTCACCAGACAATTCTGCCTCCCCAAGGTTACTTGTTACAGGAGTGTTAGTTTCGTTACCAACATAAATGATATAAAATTCATTTTTTACATGTTGATGAGTGAGAAGTGCATCTTTTGTAACGAAACAATTATTGAAGTATACATTTCCTTCAGTTGATTAGTCAGCTACTAATTCAGCCTTGGAGGACGTCCTGGTTTCTGGGTGCCTGGGAAATAACGACAGACGTCCATCACAGGAACCAGTGGGGCCCTGGGGCCCCAGTCAGTGTGGCCACAGAGACCCCAGTTGGTTTGTCATTTCCAGTTGGCTTTCAGCACTGGTTTCCTTAACCAGGCATTTGTCACCATACAGAGACAGAAAAGTTCCTGACATTCTCCTCTAATTATTTATTTTATCCAAACACAAACTTTCCTAAAACCAAACTGTTCACATGGAATCAGATCAGAAACTGGTTTAATTTTTCAGCAGTAAGTTGGAAGGTGTACTGGGCTTGGTTGTACAGTAACTTCACATCATCTGCTAATCGATTCTGGTCATTGATTAACCATTTAGATCAGTTTTAAGCAAGGTCGAGCTGTTTAAAGCTTCTCATGTATTAATGATTTGACAGAGAAAAGTGCACGTCTGTTGTTTTTGAGGACATCATGCTGAGAAACTGGGAGAAGCACGTCTCACTGCTGTCTGACTTTGTCCAGCTTGCTGCTCACACACCAGTCACCGGCCTGGGAGACTGAAAAAGGACACCAGCTCGGCTCCAGTTCAGCGCGCAGCTCGTCCAGTGCTTGTATGTTTCTGAATGTTCATATCGTTTCTCTGTTTGTTCAAGACACTGCATGCGTTATTCCGCCGGTGCACATGACTTAGCTTTTGTTTCCAGTGTTTGTTTGCTGCTGCATGCGAGGGTTTCAGGGCCGAGAGCGGCTGATCTGAAGGGTCAGGTTTCAACAGGGGCCAGAGGAAAGCTGTGGGGCTGTGACAGGAGAACAGGATCGTTTTGCAATAACCTCATGTCTTTCTCTTAAATTTGATTTTTAAAATAAAATACTGAGTAGTTGTGTTTTTAAAATGAAGAAACCTGAAATTTCCATCTGAGACGATCAGATGCTCATGGAAGTAGTTTGTATCCTTTTAAAAATACTCCATTACAAATAAACTAGTGCTGAGGTAGATCAGGACAGAGCAGTCGCTGCCTGACTTTTTACAGACTAACAACCAAAACCAGTAGATTAACTGGCACTGAAAGGGTTAAACGTTTCCTGTGAGCAGTGACCACACCACCAGACAAACGCTTTGAGGCACATTAGACCTAAACACTGTTCCTCACCGAGTCACAGGCCGACATGTCTGAGCCAGTGAACTGCATCTGCTCCACACTTCAGCCAGTTTATTAGGGACGGCTCCGTACCCCACACATGGTCAGTGGAGGTCTGTAACACTATGGTTATCTCTCTCACACACACACAGCCTGAGACAATACCTAAACCAATGACAAACCAGCTGACAGTGACATCACCTCACCCACTAAATTTATGGTTCATAGGAACACTTCTCCAGACCGACTTTTATGGTGACCGCTGTCAGGTCTGTCAACACACTAACGTCACCTCTGACAGAGCTAATGGATCCCACAACCAGGCGGGATCTGGACATCAAACACTTGGACATACAAGAGTGATGTCAGTCATAAATGTATAATGAATGAATGTTTACTTGGTTTAGAGGGCACACGTCTGTCAAAGAACAGTTCACTTTTTTCCTGTACTCGGGTACCGACTTGGATAATGGTGGGAAATTGAGGTTTCCCAACCTCCCGCTCAGAAACAGGCTGGGAGGCTCCACACAGCAGCTGCTCGGTTCAAGGAGATTTTAACCTGAGAGAACAGGTGAACCACAGGAGCAGAGCAGCCTAATGAGCCCGAACAGCTTAGTGAGAGCCCCGCACCTGAAGGGGGTATTAAAGGACTCAGATGCATTTGTTATTTCACACTAATCCCACCCAGACTCAACGCAGCAGTGGTGTGAGAGAGTCCAGAGCCTGGTGCAGTTTACTGCTCTGTGCCGTAGACCTGCACTGTTGTTGGGACTCCCCATCGCCAGGTTTGAGGTGGCGACAAGGTTTAAGGTTCGGCTATGTCTGGGGGAAATTAAAACGAGTCAATGTAAATTCCCCACAAGAAGTGCAAACAGGTGTGTAGAATCAATATCCACCTTTCTAAGTGAAGATGTCTTGGAGCGGCTCACCAACCTCACACTGAAACAAAGCTGCTGTTTGCTCTGTGTTTCAAGCAAATGAGGAGTCAGATCACGGTCTGCTTCCTCTGTGCCTCCCCTGATGTCTAACTCAGACTCCACGAGGAGAGAGAGACTCTCCCAAACAGGAACACTTCATGTTCAGTGTGACAGAGCTTAGTGCTAACCTGCATGAGAACATGTCCAACAGCTGTCAGTTAGATCTGGATGTAGAGTTCAACGAGGCCTTTTCGAAACACCACTTCTGCAGCCTGCTGTAGTTTTGCCTCTGTTTATAACATCAGTATGACCTGATCTGGGTGGTGACAGATGTGAGCGGGTGGAGCAGCTCTGCTCCGCCTGGCTGTGGAGAGACAGTGCCCCCTGCAGGCCGCAGCCTGTCAGCAGCACAGGCTCAACATGGGCTGCTGCATGATCCTCTCCATTGAGGCTTCACTGCAGCACCAGTGCGTTAGGCTGCAGAAGTTTGAGTCTCAGCGAAACAGATGAAGTGGACAAAACAGACAGCTGTCAGTGCAACAACCCAGCTGAGCTGCAGACAGACTCCAGCCTCCGCAGTGACCGCACAGGTAAGGTAACAGCTCTGACACAGTGGGAACACAAACCACAAGAAGGATTTACTGCAGAGCTAGTGTTTATTCTGACCCCAGCAGAATAACACCAGTCAGGCTGAGCATAGTAGGCTGCTGGAAATGATCAGATGGCCCCGATTTCCTGATCTGGAGCTGCCTGTTGGAAACAGAAGTTGACCAACTGTGCAGCATCCTGGATAAATGCACATCAGAAACCTCTGGTTCAGACTTATGAACTCTGATGCTCTGACTTTTCATCTTTGGTCTATGATTGAGCGACAGTGTCGGCCAGCTCATGTATGTAGCTGAGAACACCACGGAACATTTGGCCACAACCTCAAATTAACTTCAAATGCTGAAGATGAATGATAGTTTTCCAAATGAAAGTCTTAGAGGATGCGTCTAGTTTTACTTATGCACCAATTCTTTAGGCTGCACAATGACTGTTTTACAAAAGCATTTAGGACATTAATATTGCTATAACACTTCAGACCTGCAATGCTAACAAATTTGCAAATGTTGTAAATGCTAACATTAGGAAAAGGAGCATAATGGACAATTTTGTTAAAATTAAATGCTGTTAGGTATTTTTAGTCAGATAGAAATTGGATAGATACTTTATGTATTAGAAATGTTTAGTGGAGATAGGATGTCTAGTTAGACTGTTAAATGCTTAGTCATGCTTATGAGTTTCTACAGGGTACATC